AGAAGGATTTTTCTTCTTTAAAAATGACACTGGCTCCCAATTCGACCCACCCTAAAATAGGTTCCAGGTAAAGTCTTGGGAGGAAAACGCAACTAATGTGATGACTGCCAACTGGCTTTTAAAATGTACCTGATGGGCCTCTGTTGTATAAAAAAGGCTCTTTGCTCAGTTTCCCCACGAAGTGTCAGGTGCATAGGGCACAACTAACATAACACTGGAGTAAGCAAACCAAACTTATCCTCAAAATTGAATATCACAAAGACGTTATATTTTTTAAGTCTACTGGCAAATTTAATGATTCTTGGGTATCATCATCATCATCATAAACCACTTCTGCCGTTAAGCGTCGTGGGGAGGAATAATATGCGATCCAGTGCACCTTGGCTGTCACTGGCTATTGTCATGCCGTGAGGGCGTAGAGTGTCTTTAATGTTGTCGATCCATGTTTTCCGCGGCCGTCCTCTTGCTCTTGTAGCTGATCTTCTCAGAAGTAGCGCTTGTGATGGTATTTGATCTTGCGGCATTTTAACAAGATGGCCAAACCACGTAATCTGCTGTTTGTCGATGAATCTAGTACAAGTTGTCGTTCCCACAATTTGCCTGATAGTTTAATTGTTCACTCGATCTCGGATGGTTACGTTGGCTGCTTTTCTCAAGCACCTCATCTCGCAGGTGGTGATTTTGCGTATATGGGCTTTAGATACTGTCCATGTTTGGCACTCGAAGCTTGAGATGGAATGAATATGCTATTAATAGTCTGTCTCTTTGCACTCATAGTTATGCTTGGATGTCCTAATAATGGTGACAATTGGTATATAAGTGCACATGATTTCTGGCATCTGGTTTCTATTTCTCTGTCAATTCTACCATCTTCTGTGATCATACTTCCTAGATATTTAAACTCCCTAACTTGATTCAGAGCAGAACCACTCAGCTGTATGTGTAGTGGGGCAGGGGTTCTACTAACTTACATTGTTTCGGTTTTGTTTACACTGATCTTCATGTTGTATTTACTGCATGCTGAGTTTAAACTGGTAATGCGGTCCTGCAGTCTATCTTCTTCAGGGTAGAACAAGCACTGGCCGTCAGCAAATTGTAGTTCGTTTAATGTGGGTGAATCGATAACTTCTCCTGATATGTGTACTTCATTATGATTATAAAGGTCTACATTCTTGGGGTTAGATGCGCTAAAAACTGACATCATAGCACTTGAGGCATTCCCATAAGCACTCCGTCCCCATTCTCAGCAGCCAATGAAGAGTTTCAAATGCAGTGGTACCAGTAACAGTGTGACTGTATGTTCGTCTCGTCCCTCCCCTGAGTGTTCAGCGTCGGCCAGATGCCCCAGTGACTCCTCTCTGCACCATTCTCTTCAGGCCGTGGTAATCTATGTATGCTCCCGTACCGCTCACTCGCTCCCAAGGGGCCCTCGCAACATTTAGCTTGTCACGCATCAGTTTATGACTCTTGCATTAAAAAAAATAATATCCAAATTCTGCATTTCAACATTAGGTTTTAAAGAGGCATCTGCTACTAGCCTTGGTTACGTTGACGCTGGTATTTGCGGTCTTGAATATTCCATCTAACCCTCGCTTGCGACCTCTAGTTCTTCTTCAGTCCCAATGTTTTTTGTATACATAGAGTCGCTGACTCTAATGGAGCTGAAATAACCAGTGAAAAGATATTCTTTTTTTTCAAAGCTGCCAGCAAATCGATCAAAGTTTACCAAGATACAGTCCAAGTGTCTGCATTAACTGAAACTTTACGGTAAGACTATTCAACTGGCGGCTCGCAGGCCACATGCGGTCCGGGAGACCTAGTAAATAGCCCGTGGATCATTGCCATTTGTATTTTCCATGCTGTGGCTCAGGCGTCTGGTCAAATACTATCCCAATTTTGACCCCAGAGTAAACTTAGTTGAACAGCCGTGCTGTACAGATTCTGATGAAATATACTGCACTATATACATTTGATCCTAAGAAGATGGTGTAGAGATAATGTAAAGTCAGACCTACAAATACTTGGATTACTAACTGGGGTACAATATTTATAACGTACCCCAAACACTTGGAATATGTGGGAATTTCACAGCTGACTTGACAGTCCATTATTTCAAGGGGTGCAAGTGTGCTGATGCTGTCGTTTCTCTTCTAGTGTATTTTGGTGTGGCATATATCTGTCTGCTGGTGTGCAGTCAGCTGCTTGTTGATGTGCAATTTTCAGTGTACAGTACTGGTCATGTTTTTTAAAAATTATTTTGACATTTGAATGTGTAGCTTAGGCGATATCATATCGCCTGCAAAATGAAAAGTGCTGCGTTTAGTGTCTACAAGACTTTTTTTTTGTAAATTTTTATTTATTGTAATTGTATTTTTTTTTTGCTTTCTTCCGAATAACGGTTCCAAATTATCAAGGCCGAAAATTTACCCTACCAGGGCCTCAGTCACATGTAAATTGCGGACCTCTTTCAGGAGACTATACCGTCACCACCGAGAGTATCTTATGCGCCGCGGAGGAAGCTTAACTAGATGGCTGGGACTCACGAGCAAAAAAAGGTGGAAGCTGCAGGAGATGCAGTAGATGCTGTTCGTGAGTCCCAGCCATCTAGTTGAGCTCCTGGGCAAACTGGCGTGCTGGGACCCCTTTACAACAACCACTCACAGAAGTAAAATTTTACATGGTTTTGATATCAAACATTTTTCATTATTTTAGTACCTCTTCAACAAAATGCATTAAAACACAGATTAAATGGAGATGTATTAATTATCAACTTCTTATATAGCCAAGTCACTTGACATTCCCAGATAAACATAGGGCCCTCGAGCAAGTGCTCAGCACAACCAATCATTAAGAAAGCCCTGCACATTTGGTTCCTCACCATTCTGACACAGATTTGCTTTTTTTTTTTCCTGAAGAAATGATCGTAATTGTGCTAGTCAGGCCTTGGGGCCTCTAGAGGATCACAAAGAGGTGAAGATTTGTTGACCAATAGAACTAGTGTGGAGCACCAGCCCATACTCAGCACCTTTGCTTCCTAAATGTGACCCAATGCTGTATTACTGCCCCTTAAGGCCACTGATGGATATTTTGTTTCTTGAGCTGGCAACATTTTAAGACTTACACCTAAAGGAATGCAGCTTGATTTTGTAGCAGAACAATTGATCCACGAACAGTAGCCTACTGTATGCAGTATATAACCGTTTTGAAGTTTTTTTTTTTTAATTCTACAAGATCAAAACCTCAAGGATGAGAAATTCATGCATACAAATATCCCAGCATATCCCATTTAAGATACAGGTCATACTGACATCTCCATTACAATGTGAATAGACCAGAAAGGATTTCCCTTGATGTATTTCATATCTTTTAGTTATGAAAGACAGACAAGGTCCTTGGCCTTGCCTGACGCTGGTCTAGGAGGGAAGATCTGTCAGGAAGGGAGGGCAGTTATTCTGCAGCATGCTTTGTTCTAAATGCATTCAGTGTTATACCATACCTCTGGAATTAAGGTAGGCCTCACAGATCACACTGCCATTTGGTCCAGGGATGCAATTCCCATGCTGCCACATAGCACAGTGCAACACACAACCTCTGAAAACAGGGGTGTTTTGACCACACAAACCGTCTGACGAATTAAGGATTACAAGATCTCTTTAATATCACGTAGCAGGTGCTCTGCAGAACGTCACTCTAATCAGTCTGCCTGAAAGAAATCTCACCAGTTCTCCACCTCATGTAAATACTCAAAGAATTGTCTAATCCATCCTGGTGCTTGAAATGACAAAATATTTCAACTTCTGAGACAGGATGCCGTTTATTAGCAAATCTTCCTTGATGTTCAGATCTAAAGATCTCAGTATTTCTTTTCTTTGTCGAAGATATTCTGAGAATCTTTCTATAGCATTTCAGCTCAAAAGCCGCTATTCTCTTTCTTAAGGACAGAGATCAAGTCCACGACTCACATCCTATGTAGTCACAAGGAAGATGCATGCTCTCAAAATTGCAATTTTGATCTCCTTTCACAAGACAGTAAAACCATTTGTTACATAAATTTGTGATGTGAAACAAAAACATGCAAACAACAAATATAAAAAAAAAACTTAATTTTGAATGCAAAAATTTAAATTTATTCTCTTAAAATAACATTAAAAATGAACTGCACTGTGACCATTTGAATTTTGTTGCAAAGTATACATAATGGAGAACAAATGTATCTCACAAAAAGATGGTTGTGGATCCTTTTTACAAGACATAACCCAAGCATCTTTTTTGGCTGTTCGTTGTTCCACTAGAAAATTTTAGATTCAGATATTAAACAGATGACTTCAAAATAGGTACAAATTTTAAATTGTTCATTAAAAAAATTTTCCCCTACTAACATACCAATTCTAGAAGCAACAGCAAGCTTCAAGAAATTGTTTCAGATGAAAAGTGTAAACTGTTTTATCTAAGAAATGATGCCTTTTATTCTAGTAAATGTCTTAGTTTTGATGCCCAAGCCTTAACACTTAGAATTGATCGCAGGACTACCACAACCTATTTTCTACTTATATTAACCATTTGCAACACACAATGCTTCAGTTTCTACATGGACATAATTGGGTACAGCACTCAGGGGTTCAGGGGTGGTACATCTATTGTGTACAAATACATATCTGCCTGCAATTTTTAATTACACCCCAGTGTGTATGATACTGTTGAGTCTGAGCTGCAATATTTCACAACTGGAAAAAAAAAAAAACTAAATTACAGAATACAGTTCCATTAATGACAAATACAAAAATTCAGTTAATCCAATGCAAAAAAAAAAAAAAAAAATTAACATAAACTTCATGGTCACTTAGTAAAATATACAACATTAAAGAAAATGAACATGGAAATGAGGCAGCCAACCTCCTTGTAGCACTACAGCACACTCAGCAATCTGCAGTGACTACAGAACCACATCAGTGCCTGCAGTAATGTTAATGACACCACTCCTGTATCTCTTACAGGAAAATTTAGCAGCCCTTGTATTCCACACGGATTGGGACTTCCTTGGGAGCCTCCAGTGCTTCTTTCTTCTTGCCTGCTTTGATGAACATGACGCCTTCTTTGTTCATTGTAGAGGACACATCTTTTGGATCAACATCCTGAGAGAAAAAAATAATACAACATTGTAGTCTTCTCAAAAGACTTTTCTCCAAAGGTAAAAAAAATTTTGCCTGATTTATTGTTTGTCTTTTGATATTATGACAAGTCAAATATGGTCAAGGCTCTTTAAAAGCATGTGAACAGTGCAGAAGCCAGACAGATCATGTTCTGAGGACAATGGTGCATTGGGAAGTGATGAGGGAAGCTGGCTGACAACTGAGACAGACCCACAGGATTCAGGAAGGTTGAATATCATCTTAGAATCAGCAAGTGCCTTGCCAACTGATGTGGGCCATCATGCCTCTCCACAATAGGCAATCTCCTGCAGCATGTTATCAGTTCATGTGCTGACACCTCCATGCCATGCAACAAGACTGTCGAGAATCTTAGTCTTCCTCTATCCCTCCTTCCACAGTTCTTTCAGTGGTCACAACATTTTCCATTTCCAATGACAAAGATATTTTGTATTAGATGTTCTTAGAATAATAACTAGTGATAATATAAAAGGCTTAAGCTGCTGAAGATCGGACAACATAGGACAATGCTCTTGATAATCCTAAGCACGACTTTCACAAAGACTATTAATATAAAGACTTGGCATCCATAATTAACCTACAGGTGGCTTTACGAAGCAGCAGAAATATCTCAGGACCAGATGGAACATGCTTATGCTCTTGTCAAACAGTTAAGTGATGAAACGTCGAGGATTGTGAGAGATTTTAATTATAGTATCCACAAGGCAAATGTACCAGATGATTGCTTACCCATGATCTTAAATGGATTTAAAAAAACAAAAACAACTAAGTGATAGAATCACTGCCTAGTAAAATGTGTACGGCAAAATGCAAGAAAAAAAAAAATAAAGAGCATGCTAGCCAGCTGTATGCCATTGAAAGAAATGAGACAATGCTGACACTTTCCCCACGTGTATGAAGCATTTCAGCAAAATTAAATTATTGCTGTGATCATTTTAAAAATACTTAAAAACAACTTGACATATCTTATGCAGTGCAATATAGACTAGAATAAACCCTCAGTTGGCCAACTGAATGGTGATTTGTCTGAGAGAACGTGGATTCGTTTAAATTACACATTTGTCCTGTCCTCATGCATTTCATTCTTTTTACTATACAAGGAAATGCCGCACAATTCTTGTGATAAGTACTCGCCTCCATTTACTAATTTTTTAAACAGCACATCTTCAGAATTTATGTTCTTTATCAGGTTAAAGTCTTTTCCATCACTTGATAGACTTACAAGTATTAATCATTGTTAGCAAGGCAGTGACAGAAAGAAAAAAAAAAATGAAGGTTTTTCCACCAGCTCTCCCAGTGCACTGTCAGTCCAAGGTGTCTATGCTCATCTCAACACTTCTACCACAACCGACATCACCCCACTCTGCTGTACTCCAGTGTAGTAGCCACTCCAAGGTTCCCATGAACAGTTAGTAATAAGTTGCTCTCCCATGTCTGCATCAAATGTTAGCAGACAGACTTCACCATGCTGGCAGGCCTTCGCCACTACTGTTCTTTCCAATCCACTGTGACCCTAAACAAAATGTGAATAAGCTAATTTTCCTTGATGTTTCTATCTGTAAAAAATATTCTTTCCTTTATAAAATAGGAAAAAAAAAAAAAAGACTTACTGGTGGCAAAGTGTATTTTCGAGTCATTTCCCGATACACAGAACCATGCTTGTCTTTCCTCTCCTCATGTTTGGCGTGGATGCATATCTGCTTGTCATTAGTAGTTATCTTAATTTCATCAGGCTTGAAGCACTTTCCAAGGTTCAGGCGAATCCGAAACTCTTCGTCAGTGTTCTGGACCTGCAGTGACAATTTTAACATTTATTAGGCACGGTAGACCACCATGATTTTTTTTAAATATTGGTACAAGAATCATACCAGGAAGCTATTGGAACCTCACTATGTAATACCCCCCAAAGACAATGGGTGTACATATCCACTGCAGTCAATATCTAATGCGGAGGTAGCATGAAATTATTAACATAACCGTTACTGTCATAGACAACTTGTATTGCCATATTTTTTGTTTTAAAAACTTTAAGGTAGTTTTGTGCAGATGAATGAAGTAGATACAAATGTCCACTTTTAATCACGCCCATATTCTCTCGTCTACTGACAAACAGCAAGCATGATATTGCAGTGGCCAGTACATGTGGTGGTTGTAGGTTTGAATTCCCATCTGGCATAATTTTTGTTTCAAACAACCAGCTTTATAGGTCACCATCATCATCCCCTTCATCGTCATCATGACATGCCCTGTGTGTAGACTTCAATGTTTCACTTCCCTTAAATTCCAGCTGTGACATCATGACTAATCCTGGCGAAGGTAGTCTGCCATTGCTTTCCTTCAAGGCAGTGACCACACTCGTTAGGCAACCACAGCTGTGGTGATTTCAATATGATCCTCCACCCAACTGACAGGAAGCTGAGACTACAACCAAGAACTATGACCAAATCACTCAGTCTATAACTAGGAGAATTTTTTGGGGATGTAAAGACAACTGTAGTGATGCCAAACATCACCGACTTGGAGTCAAAATAAGGGGTTAGAGAGATAAGGGATCCATTTTTTAATGTCAATTTTCAAAACAATTTAATGAAGAGAAACTAATCTGCTACCAAACCACATGTAATTTTTTTGAAAAATTGTCTGCATAAGTAACACCCACACAAAAATTTGCTGATTGCTACACAAGTTTGGGCAACCACTGCTTACTACATGTATTAGTTTCCTGACTTTCTCATAACAGGGAATTGTTATTTTAGAACGTTTTAAAAGTAAAAAAAAAAAAAAAATTCAATGATGAGTAAAGTTGAGTGAAACAAGATATTAAAACGCATTCTAAACTACATTTTACAGAAATCTGTACAATAAATAAGAAATCAGAAAGCCAAATTCAGGCCCTGAGATCTTCATAAACAGTTAACTTCATTAAAAATAAAAATTCAGTGAAGTGAAATAAGCGATTAACTGATTTTGGAGAAAGGCAGCTGACTAACGTAATGTATTCTTTGCTACCTGAACATTACATATTTTAGTGAATGTTATGTGTGGTCAGAATAAGGATCAACTCCTGATAACTGCAAACAAGTTTTAGAACAGGTCCATTCAACTGGGGGTCCATGGAGGCCTAGGCAAGTGGCCAGGAGATCATTGCCAGTTTTGCTGCACAGACTACATATGCTGGGGCTCGATCCTCTCGCCAGCCACCACCCTTTCAAAAATGTCAGCTACAGAGTAAACTTGGCTGAATGGCCCTGCCCTAGAATAAACCAGATTTCGGTTATCCTCCGACTAACGGTCGGCAAAGATGGCGGCGGCAAAATATCCTTTCGATAAGAGTCCCGTGACTTAATTTGCTGTTCTCCGGCGGTTTTCCGGCGACTATCGCCACATGTCACCCACGTGGCGTGGAATGGGGCTAAACTAGATGGCTAGGACCCACGAGCAGCAGCCTGTGCTCGTGACTGCTAGTGCGCAATTGACATGCGACTCTGGCTTGAAAGGATATTTTGCGGCCAAAATCTTTGCCGACCATTAGTCAGAGGATAGCCTAGATTTCTTTGTGTTCTGACCAAAAATAAAATTAACGTATAAAATTAATGTAACATTTACGCTAAAGAAGATATTCAGAGTTAAAAGTATATGCTAAGAGGGTCCCATCGAATGTGGTAGTACAGTGGTTAGATATTCGCACAAAGGGCCTCGATTCAATTACTGAGATTCAAGTACTGAATTTAAAGTGGCCTGGAGCTGCCAGGTTAAAATTGGTGCAAGGAAACATTATGTGAAGCAAAGGTGGCTGGTATGATACGGGCCACATCACACGGTGTCAGCAGGACTTCTTTGTAACATATTGTCCAGCCCCATATGCCAGACAAGATCTTTTACCCTTACTTTGTCTCTTAGCATGTGACAATTCCCTATGATTACTGATAATATAGGGCATACATTTGTTCTTCTGCTCTGTTCCTGTTAAAAAAACCAACCCTTTCTACCTCAATGGCACCCTGACTGGTATACATTATTAGTAATAGTACTAATAGAATAGTAACATGTTTTATTTAATTAGGATACTTTTCTTTTAGTTCACCCTATCTCAGGGAGACTGTGGGGATTTCTAGAGACTAACATTATAGAAGTGGGGGGTACCTGAACAGTCAGTTTAACCCTCTGGAGATGGAGTCTTTTTTTGGAGTTCAGTGCCAAAAATACAAAGCCTTCAGGAGGAGATTCTCATAGTTTACACACACAAGAATAAAGTGTTAGCATACACAAAACTATATATATATATATATATATATATATATATATATATATATATATATATATATATATATATATATATATATATATATATATATATATATATATATATATATATATATATATATATTCATTAATATAGAATGAACGCTAACAGAACATTTATGAATCAAACTGGATTTCAACTATTGTTCAAATTATTCTGATTTTTTAAAACTTGGCAACAAACAGGACTAACCAAAAAGGTTTGGGTACAATTTTTTGATGAATGAAGCTTGAAGTCCTAACACTTATGTTTTAGAAAGTAAGGCCCTTGTAGGCCCTTAAGACACTTCTGGCACATGGTTCTACTCATTTTCCTGCCTCTAGCTATGTTTTGGTTGCTAAGATGCAAGTCCTTTTTGCCATTGTTGGGCACAGGTAACCCCCCCCCCAAAAAAAAAAAAAAAAAAATGGATGTCAAATTACCAAACACATCAAATGTTCTCAAAAGCCGTCAATGAACAACGGACATATGCACGAAATGCAAGAAGCAATCTGACTGACTGCTATGAAAACCTGCCAGCCAATCTCAAGGATCGTATTGCACAGGAGGTTATTAGTATTACATACAGATCGGCCCAGTCATCCTTTTGGCTACTTTGTGTCGGGCTGATATTTCAGCCCGGTCTCCAAAGGGTTAATTCGGCATTCATTTTACATCCTGGCACCCTATAATATTGGACCTTCCGGGATCTCCCCACAAAGACTCCATGAGATGGAGTGTGAACTAAGAGAAAAGTACCTTAATTAGTTATAACAATGTTTCTCCCTGGGACAGACTGACTGCTACTCTAAAGTCCTGGCAGCTCTGAACCACTTACTGACCAGACAGGAGTTGCAAACAATAAACAAGCACCCTACCTCTGCCTGCGTGTCCCTCCAAGCCTGGAGCTGTTGGGCCAAGTTGCTGGCACTCCGCAGGGCGCCCAGATCCCGCGGATCAAAGAAAGGCCTGACCACCAGCTCGTCGCCGCCAAATGGGAGCAATTCGAAATCATGATCATCGACCATTCGAGGGTTATACGCCCCCCCCCCCCCCCCCCCCCCCCCCCCCCCCCCCCACAACGTCCCCCCCCCCCCCCCCCCCCCCCCCCCCCCCCCCCCCCCCCCCCCCCCCCCCCCCCCCCCCACCCCCCCCCCCCCCCCCCCCCCCCCCTAGTTAGTGAGATGATGCTTTTTTAATAATACTCTTCTTAGCAAACAAAAGAAAATATCAAGTTAATCAAGCTTTGCTGACGCTCAAGTTAACACCGCTATCCTCGTCCCTTCGCAGTGAAGATTCGCTTGGTAAAGTGTTCTGCCCACAACACAACCAGTGGTGTTTTATACCTTCAGCTACCGCGTACAAGAAACACGGGGAACTTTCCAGGCCGGCCTTGTTGTTATCACACAAAAGCGTGAAGTAAACAAACCGCTTCGAGGCGACCATGGAACATTCTTCGAACGTTCAGGTCCATTTGTGAAAATTCACGATATTTTCCAAGGTTATTTCCACCTTTTTCAGCTTATCAACATCTTGTTTACATCCACTAAATATGTAGGGAGCAAAAATATCACAAATAACAAGAGGCTGTTGCGAAATTCGAGAAATAAGCATCTTGAAATTTTTTTTTGTCCTACCCCTCCTGTCGGCAGGGTTGCCAAATAAAAAAAAAACTTTAAGCCAAACTACTACCCAAAATGAGGCCAGGAAAAAAAAGCCAAATTAAAATGTTACATAGTACCCACTTTCCATCAAAAGTTCTAGATTGAACCTGACTGTCATCCTCACTGTAAAAACGGGGAAAATGCAGCGTAAACCTTTTCAGCCTTAAGCGCAGGTGATATAATATTGGTTTTTTTTTTTCAATGACACATGAACATTTAGTTCTGTGCAACTGTGTGTGTTCCAGTGTACGCCCCCGACTATGCGTTATCATGATTTCATTTGGATGATAAATTGTGCATATTGCACAATGGCAGGTCCTGCTTACAGCAATTTGCAACTCTGCTGCCTTAACTTTATCTTTTTTTTTTAGCCTAGTAGTCATTGTTGTAATAAGCTGTGACTGGTTTTTGACGGAGTTTTCATCCTGTGTTACTAATTCTTAGTGCAACAGTGCACTGACAGTTTACAAAATGCTGCCTCTGATCCGTTTGAAGATCTTTTAAGCAATGGGTGTTTTCTCCCAATTACTATTATACTCCAGATTGCTGTCATAATATACTTTCCATTTTTTCTGGATGACGTAGCCATTGGTACTGGACAAATTTATAGCAGAAGGCATGATGCCAGGAAGAAGGGGTAGGGGCCGACCGACAGGAAGATGGGCAAAGGATCTAAGTGACTCCTTGAGTATGAAAGTACATGAGGCGGGAGAGCTGGCGAGAGACCGAGTTTCTTTCAGGCAAACTGTGATGAGAGCGACGTTTTGCAAAGGATCTGCTACATGATGATGATGACGAGCTATTAGTAAAAGTAATATAATATATCATAGTTAAAACTAGGTCTATGTCATGTAGTTTTTTTCAAACGTTTGCTTTGCATGCATTAAAT